GAACTCGCGACATTGGCGTTATTAGCACCACGCTCTAACCAACTGAGCTATAGGACCCGTGATTTGATGAAATCCGGCGTTAGAAGCTAACTAACCCTGAGTACTCTATTTCTGAATAAATCAAATCCTTTTGTTATCATAATACTCGTCGATGAGCTAGCCACCAAACATACAAGCAATACTCCTCATCCAGTAGTATCTCACTATCGCGGAGACAGTTACTTGTGCCTCTCAGCACCAACAAACCCCGATAACGTAGAAGCATACCACTAAAAACTTATAAATAACGGTATCGATATCAATAGAGCTATTTCATTGTAATAAAACTGATGGCCCAAAGGTCACGCATCTATTTCCACTTTTAACTGCCGGGTTAATATCCCTTATATACCAATTTTCTCGGGTGGATATGTCACGGGCGTCCTGCGATTGGGTGAATCGGCCCCTGGAGGCGAAACCTTCTCCCAACCTATCCTCTGTCATGCAGACGACAAGTCTCCCACGCCCAGCTCCACAAATTCGAAAATACCAATCCCTACCCCCAAGCAGCAGTTGTCCAATGACTAGCAGCATGCAGCACGACACACAAAACGCCAACAAGAACAAGAACAGCAACGACGCAACCTCAGCAGATGCCATCCGCATCCGCGACAATCAGCGCCGATCTCGTGCCCGCCGCAAAGAGTACCAGCAAGAACTAGAGCGACGCGTGCAAAAGTTTGAGCAACAAGGGGTACATGCTACAATAGAGGTACAGACTGCGGCTAGAAAGGTCGCGAGGGAGAATACTCTGCTGAGGTCGCTGCTGCGGCTGAAGGGGATCACTGCGGGGGAAATCGATGAGTATCTTTCGAATGCAAACGGGAATGAAAATTGCGGAAATGTGGCTGTGAATGGGAATAGAAATGGGAATGCAGATGTGAACGGGAGCTTGGATCGGGATAACGATAGATATGGAACCGGAATAACGTTTACACAATTGCAGCCTGCTCCTTCTCCTTTGTCTACATCCGCATCTACATCCGCATCTACATCCGACCCTACGTCAATTCCCACGGCACCTGCGTTTCTAAACACCATCAACCAGAACCAGAACGAATGTCAAAATGGAAATCAATCTCCAATTCAACTAGACAACTACCCTTCCTACTACCCAGCGGAGCAAACCACCATGCAACCTACTCCCCAATACGTCGAAACCCCTAACGCCCAAAACATACCAGTTTCTGTCTCTGTACCTGCATCTATCACCACCTCTGCCTCCTCTTTATACTCTCCAACCGCCAGCTTCACGAGCTCAAGTCTCACCCCATCCGCGAACAACGACCAGCAATACCAGCCCCAAAATTCATACACATCATTCCAATCCACAATACCCTATGCAGCGCCCAGATTCCCCCAAGGCCCTCCACGGCAAGACCACCAGCAACAGCAGCAGCAACCATCCCTCCAACTTCCCCTCCAACTCCGCCCACCCATCCCCTCCACCCAACCACATCCCTACCGTCCATCCCCATCCCACTCCCACTCCAACTGCACTCAACCCATCCAACCCCAGCCCCAACTCCAAGACCCCCAAACTCTCCTCCACACCACCCCGACTCCCCAGGCCAGCTGTTCCAGCCCGACGGACACCACCCTCGACTCTACGTCTTGCGAGATTGCCGCGAGCATCATCGCCAGCATGCGTGGACATGGTGACGCAGCCTCCGTGCGTGCAGAGCTGGGTTGTGGGCCCGGTGGCGCGAATTGCCAGGTCGGCAATATGGAGATTTTTAGGGTGTTCGATCGGTCGATTGGGAGTTGCCGGTAATGATGACATATATGTATATCTTTCCCCCCCTAGGTTCTGCTTTGCCGGGGGAGTTCTTAGGAGTTTAGGAGTTTGGGATTTTACACTTTTTTTGTAGCTATATCTATTTGAATTTGTTTATGCGTGTTTGAGAGTAGCGGGTGTCCGGAAGAATGCCAACTGATTACAAAATTGGTGAAGCTCTGCCGCTGAAGCAGGAGAAGCACCCAAGAAGCACCCAAGAGCTTCGTACATAACAACACAAAAGGTTCCTGTCCAATTTTCCTTCATTTGGCCATGGGATATTTGAGATATACTTGCGTTCGTAATGGCTATGTTCGTCTACTATTTTCGGACTGTACGAGGCTGTCCAACTGTATGTCTTTGGCGAGAATCAGATGCATTATTATATTGATGATTGTATCCAAGTATCCTTTTTTCACACAATATCGCAGGGTCTATAATAACCTCCAAGTATCTCATTCAGGGAAGCTAAATCCCAGGGCTGTTTGGATGTTCAAGATCGCTCCAATAGGGAAGCCTCAAGTTGGAAATACCTAGACCTTGAATTTATGAGCGCATAACGGAATGTTGAGATGGTGATGATAAGCGAAGTTTTCAATCAAATCGCCCAAACTAAAAGAATTGATAAAGTTAGGGTAGCCCCTTGGTTTCGGATATGGCTTCGAGGGCGTTTTGGGTAACCCATTTAATTTCTTCGACTTTCATTAAATTCGTGAAGTGATCCGTATCGGAGTCATGAAACTACTAAACTGGTATTGCAGTTACCAGACATCCGGAATATGCAGAAACCCTGTACAGGTAAACGATACATTGTTCTCTGTCTGGAGAAGCGCTCAAGAGAATTAGAATAGCTGTGTGCGCTAATCATACGTTATTGTGGCGGACGTAAAGCTTGCGAAAACAGAATTTTCTGCCACCCCCTGAAAAATAGTAGCAAAACACCGCAGAAATAACCAAAATATCCACGTATCTCTAGAATCATTCAAATATCATCCAATTCATTCAAATACGCACCTTTATCATCAAATCTGCACCTTTATCATCAAATCTGCCAATATGCCCCGCAACACCCACCGTTCTACTGCCTCGCAAGCTCGTAAAAGGACTCCAACTACCCTGCGCCTTCGTCTGTCCAAACCGCCTGTTCCGGATGTTCCGGATAATGACGAGAATCCAACTGATGATGAGAAGGAGGATAAGGAGGAGGAGGAGGAGAGGAGGAAGGAGGAGGAGACACAGTCAGAAGATCCTCGATTTCTGCGAACACCTACTCCTGAGCCTGAGATCTCATTCAGCTGTATGAACGGGTGATTATCAATGGGATAAAGGAGCCTATAAAGATCAAGTTACGGAATGTCACAACAAATGATATGACTGTCAGCTTCTATCGTATCCAATATCTCCCTCAACTCCTTCTTCATCTAATATTGTGTCTCCAAGTGAGATAATCAATGTGATGGTGATGAAATATATGATGGAAGGAATGGGAGGCATGGGAGGACTGAATTCAAACTTGTCATCGAATTCAAACTTGCCATCAAATTCAAACTTGCCATCGAATCCGAACCTGCCATCGAATCCGAACCTGCCATCGAATCCGAACCTGCCATCGAATCCGAACCTGCCATTGAATCCGAACCTGCCATCGAATCCGAACCTGCCTCCTATTCGAAGTAGTCCAATCCCTCAGTTTGGTGAACACGCGGATCTGTTTATTGATGAGTTCTTCAACTGGTTGATGACAGAGAGACCTCGAAGAGCAGAAGCTCTTTTAACTGCAAAGAGCATTATTCAGAATGAAGGATTTGAACTGGATCATATACGGACAATGACAAATGAGCAGGTGGTTTAGTTGAATATTGGAATGGGTATATTCTCGATAATAAGAAATGGGTTAAAGAGTTCTATCTGGCAGTCACAGTTGAAGGAGATTAAATTGTCTTTATCTGCTGTTTGTAATGATGACAGCAGACTTCATACTGCTTCTGCTTCTGAATTTGAAACTTAGATATTATATATCATCATAATTGAATTGTAATCTGAATCTTTTTAAATTTTACAATACTATCCTATATGAGCCGATCTGAAATATCCTCTTGCATCTTCTTCTCCCATGAAATTCTCAACTGCATGATGCAAGAAGGCTTCAAAATCTCCATCAAACTGATTCTCTAACTGACATCTGTATCTTCTAATCCATTCTTTCAACGCGTGAAATGACTCCTCTATAGGATTATAATCAGGAGAATATGGAGGTAAGAATAAAAGTCCAATGCCAGCTTCTCTGCAGAGATCTCGCAGTGCTTGTGAACGATGAGAAGAGCAATTATCCATCACTAAGTAGTGATAACCTCGTTGGCATTTGGGCAGTATCCGGACACGTACAAACTCATTGAACCTCTCTGTATTATAGGACCCCTGATATATATCATAATCAAGATATCCATCGACACTTATTGCAGGTAAGATTGACCATCTGCGAGATCGTTTACAGGGCCTTCTAATGCGACAAGGGAATCCTCTGCTTGACCATCCATATCGTCGATCTGCAGTACGTTCATTCGCAGCACTCTCATCTAAAAAGATAAGTTGATCAGGTTGATACTGAGTAACTTGAATACGCCATTCAGCTCGAAGTTCTTCGTTGCGTTGACTGGCCACAGGTTCAACCTATATCAAATAGAACTGACAGATTAGCAGGTTCTATAAGTGACAATTGCAATAATTAATCACCTTCTTCCATGTCAAATTCAGTTTCTTCAAACAATCTAGATATCGATCGAGGGTGGATATCAACATCAAATTCATCCTTCACAAAGCAGACAGCCTCATCGCGATATGCAGTTGGATATGCCTCAAAAAAGTCCTCCAAACCTGACAAGATATCCGGTGTGATCTTTGGCTTTACACCCCATGTTGAACGAGGACTTCTAGCAGTTCCAAAGCAGCGAATATTTCGTTGGATTCGATATACAGTGGCCAGACTGCACTCAATGGTCCGCGCAATCTGAGCAGGCATATAACCATCGTTTAGAAGGCGTACGATCTCATTGGTGGTAAATTCGCTGAGCTGGGGGGGCATATTGGCAGATTTGATGATAAAGGTGCGTATTTGAATGAATTGGATGATATTTGAATGATTCTAGAGATACGTGGATATTTTGGTTATTTCTGCGGTGTTTTGCTACTATTTTTCAGGGGGTGGCAGAAAATTCTGTTTTCGCAAGCTTTACGTCCGCCACAATAGTTATATAAATTCAACCCCACTTGATTCGTACCGTACGAGCAGGCATCATTCTTCAAGAATAGATTTTTAAGCATCTCTGCTCTGTATTCTTCATCATGACATCTCTAGCTGACTGTACAGAGGTGGAGTGGCAGCTTCAGGTCAGCAAAGACCTCTTTTCATATAGGGAAAAGGCCCTGGCCCTGGCCCTGCAGAATCGACCAAAGAATATCAATAAGCAGTATCTCTCCAAACAGAGAGAATGGCAGGTGGGTGATGGACAGAGATGGCAACACTGTGCTGCAGACTGTAGATAAGAGCACAGTCAAGCTATATGTGGCAGCTGTGGTGGATCTGTACAGATTTCAGAAGAGCAGAGGAATCAACTCCTCTGATCATTCATGTGGACAGCTGGTCAGTGCAGTTCTTTGTATGCATGAAATCAAGGAGTCTGTATGAAAGCGGGCACAGTATGTGGATCGGGGGGCCAATACTCTGCAGGATGGATACAATGAGAAGATGATGATTCATCTGATGAAGTTCTGCTGGACTGACTGGTATAAAAATGATCAAACATCTGTGATGAGCCATTTTTGTACAGAGCTGAACTTCCTCATGAATCACAACATGCTTCTGTGGGGGGAGACATCCTGTACGGCACAGCTGCCTGACCTTTTCACCCTCCAGCTTTCAAATGAGGGGCTCACTCCATGCTGGCCTATGATTCTCATCACAGATAATGGCAAGATCAACCAGCTGAGGCGGCTGAAGTATGCTGCTGTGATGAGATATAAGAATCCTCTACTCTGTACAATATCTCATCTGGCATTCTATCTGTTCTACCGCTGGAATATTGTACGGGAAAGTCTTCCAGACTTTCAAAGATGCTCTCTCTGATATGATATCCACCTTCTCTGTGGACAGGATCCCTTCAAGCCTCTTTCATATGATACTCAGCTTCAGTGGGTCAATCGCATGTATGCAGCAGCTGGGCTTCTGTCAAGCAAGAAGACTCATCTTGATCGGAGTCAGGGGTTCAGATATGCTGAACTGAATGGAATGTCAGAGGGTCAGATTCACTGAACTGGCTGATGAAATAATGATGCTCTGACCAACTGCTATCTCACCAATATCCCCCGAGAGTTCGTATGAGCAATGGCAGGGTTTGAACCATAGACTCAGAGCAACTACTTTCTTCCTCGAGCTACCATCCCCCCCCTCCGAAGCAGCTGGAGGCTGCCATCTGGCCATGGGTGGATGTCTGGCTAGATAGATTTGATTCGTACGAGAGATTGAGCCAGAAACAGAGACAGACACAGAGAAGGGAAAGAGAAGCAGCAGAAATGGAAGAAGTGAAGGAGACAGAGCAAGAATTGCCAGAGAATGAACAAGACTTAACAGCTCAGGGATTTCTGCGGCTGCTGAAGCGGCTTCATACAGTGATTCTTCAGAACTCTGTGCTTCTGCAGAGGCAGTTCCCTGACCACCCTGTATGATCAGATGCTCTCTTCATACAAGAGGATTATCAGAAGTATACTCTTCAGATTGTTCAGGCTCTTGAGACAGCTGTGGAGCCTCAGAAGATTCAGATTCTGCGAGTAGTATCTGTCATTGCTGATCAGCTGAAAAATGTGCGACAGAAGATGATTCAGTCCATTGATAAGTGGGGTTATGAGAATCAACAGCTGCAGCAAAAGATGGCTCAGCAGCTTGCTGATCTAGTTGATGGTCAAATCACCTTCTTCATACAGGCAGTTCCTCAGAGCTCTGCTGCTCAGAATTCAGTGATGAATCTGGCTGCCATTCCCTCTGCTTCCTCTCTGCCCTCCTCTTCTTCTACTCTTTCCAGAGACATCGTACAGAGGTCAGTGGAGTCAGAGATGGAGATGAGACAATCATCATCTAACAATGCTGAATCTGTGGATCTGACAGCCACACTTCTCACCTCTTCCCGGACAGGAAATGGCTATTCTCTTTCCCGTACAATACAGTCAGTGCCTGATCTGTGGCGGGAGTGGACCACTGGTCTGGGGAGTGGTCCATCAGTGCAGAGCCTGGAGGATCAGAGAGGCAGCTGGCACAAGGGCTCCTCCAAGGAGCAGATGATGTTCTGCCGGCGAAAGATCATCATCAATGAGATTCGTACGCGTGTGTCCTCTGGTATGGCTGTCAGTGCTGCTGTGGAATCTCTGGAGCTGATCCGCCAGCGGGGGAAGCTCTCTCTTAATAAATTGACAGAGCTGTTGAAAAGACAGAGGCAGCTCTAGAGAACCTGTCATTTCCTTTCTCTTCGTACGGAGTTGCTGGAACTTTGACTTTATATAATAATATAGATAGAGTGTATTTTTAGATGGATTAGAGTGTACTGCTAGCTAGCTAATGCAGCTCTGCTCTTCATTGTATGAAGGTTTCCTACTATACAGTGTATTCTCTCACTACAGCTGGCTATCGTACGAAGACAACAGTGGGTGGTGAGCTGATTGATGGGGGTGGATGAATTGGCAGATTGATGATGATGACAAAAGCAGTGAATTGCATCTGCTTCTTTGCACCCACTCATCTCTCTATAATAATATCCTCTTCTCCTCTCTCTCCTCTTCTTCTTTTCTTCTTCTTTCAACACACCATCATATCAACCATGTATGTACAAAGCTCTGACAGATTGCTTCATCAACTAGATATCAGATATCACAACACTAACTGCCCTCTTCTCCGTATGATATAGGGCTCTCTCCCTCCTCGGTCTCTCTGGCCCCCAGGGCCCCCATCGCATCCTCTTCGTGGCTGATCAACAGCTGAGTCCCTTCACCCACAGTCCACAATCCAGGGCAGTCCTGGCTCTCCCAGGGCAAGATGTACCCTTTGTACGAGGCAGCATGACAGAGCTGCAGGTTCGAAGCCACCGGCCATCGTACATCAATGCCATTCTCATTCAATCTCGCGGACGGACGGAGCCACATGCATGCCTTGCCTGCCGGAGTGCTCATCCAGGTCTTCGGCCATTCCCCCAGAATGCCGTCGCCTGCCTGGCCACTTTGGTGGAGCTTGTGGCAACTGCAAATGGCGTGATCATGCCATTCGCTGCTCCGTACGAGATGGGGAAGGGGTGGAGGTGATAGAGATTGTGGATGATGATGATGATGATGAGGAGGATGGCTCTCAACGGCGGATGAGGGGTCCCTCTGGACAGCAGCTGCTCACAGCTGGTTCAACACCTGCTGCTCCTATAATCCTTGATTAGCTCTCTCTCTCTGGTATGTACAATCTCTTTTCTCTTTCTCTTTCTCTTTCTCTTTCTCTTCTGGAGGGGCAGGTATGTATTATTTCTATTTACTCCAGTCATACAGAGCCTGTGTATGACACCTAGACATGATCTGCACCTCTACGTTGGTGTCTAGGACTAGTAGCCCATATGGTGAAGCCAAGCAGGTCATATAGATAGAAGAAAGATAGAGGAAAGGTAGCTAGCTAGCTAGTCAGATCTATATCAATCAATTTTTACCCACAATATTTTTCTTCAGCCAATCATCTTGTACAGAGCTCCAATAACTGCCAAGATAACATGCCAAGCAGACCCCCCCCGTATAACTCGGTTATCCAGGGGGGGTTTGGCTGGGGTGGCGTCCGGGATAACCTGGTTATTTGGGGGGGTCATGTTATAACGCCGCTAACGCGCCCCGTGGAAAACTAGTTAACGTAATTCCCAAGCGAGCGAGCAGCCAAATTCTTCCACCTACTAATTTACCTACTCATCCACTTCAACGCGCAATTATGCCACCAATTCGCTCTAAAGATGCTAGGAACTCTATAGAGATAGAGGGAAGACTTGAACTCGCGATAAATGCTATTAAAAAGCAGGAAATATCCTCTATTTCTGAAGCTGCACGCATCTTTAATGTGCCGCGCTCTACACTTGGTCATAGACTCAGTGGTCGATCTTCACGGGTGAATTTACGCGCAAATTCACATAAATTAACTCCTGCTGAAGAGGATAAGCTTGTTCAATGGATCCTAGACCTAGCTTTACGAGGACTACCACCCCGGCCTGCATTTGTGGAGAATATGGCTAATCATCTTCTTGCCATACGGAAGCCTAGCCATACAAACCACCCTCCTCGCGTTGGCAAGAACTGGGTGTCAAATCTAGTGGCACGCCGTCCAGAGCTCCAATGCCGCTTCTCAAGACGCTATAACCATGATCGGGCCAAGTGTGAAGACCGCAGGATTGTGGAGGATTGGTTTAAGACCCTAGAGAGGGTAATGACTGAGCATGGGATTGTGTTTGAAGATATTTACAACTTTGATGAAGCTGGGTTTGCAATGGGGCTCTGTGCAACTACCAAGGTCATTACTAGTGCTGAGCACTACGGACGAGCAACTCTTATACAGCCTGGGAATCGTGAGTGGGTGACTGCAATTGAGTCAGTCAACGCGTCAGGATGGGCCCCTCCGCCGTATATTATCCTCAAAGGTCACAATATTCAGGAAGGCTGGTTTGACGGGCTGCCGGAAGGCTGGAGATTGGATGTTAGTCCTAATGGCTGGACCACAGATGAGATAGGAATCAAATGGCTTACACGGCTGTTTATTCCAGCTGCAAATCCACGCAGGGTTGGAACCCATATTCTTCTTATTCTGGACGGGCACGGCAGTCATCTTACTCCGGAATTTGACCAAATCTGCAGTGAGAATAAGATTATTCCTCTCTGCATGCCACCACATTCTTCACACCTTTTGCAGCCACTAGATGTGGGTGTTTTTGCACCTTTAAAGCGCGCGTACGGAACCCTAGTTGAACAGCGAATGCGGCTAGGATTCAACACCATTAAGAAGGCAGATTTCCTAGATGCCTATCCTGCAGCACGTCGGGAAGCCTTCAAGGCTTCAAACATTCAAAGTGGGTTCAGGGCCACTGGAATAGTTCCATTGGATCCTCAATGCGTTGTTCAGCAGCTGAATATTCAACTCCGAACCCCTACTCCCCCAGCCAGCAGGTCAAGCAATTCAACGTCATCCTGGATCCTACAAACACCTAGTAACCCCCGGCAATTGCAGAAGCAGGTGAATAAGGTCAGAAATCTTATGGATCAGGATCAACCTCATGGGTTAGTGGAAGGCTTTGACCAAATAATCAAGGCCTGCGAATACGGGATGGTCAGCGCCATGGTTATGAAGAAGCAGTATGAGGATATTTTCAATGCAAATGAGAAAGAGAAGCAAAAACGCAAGAGGTCTACACGCAGGATCCCAAGTGCAGGGGGTCTAACTAGGAATGAAGCTCAGAATCTTATTATTCCTGCAGCTGAGCCTGCTGAACAGCCTGTTATTCAACATTCCGTACCTGCGGCCCCGGAGCCTAGACCCCGCATACGAGCGCCACAACGCTGCAGCAATTGCAATACTGTTGGGCATACAAGAATAAGATGTCCTCAACTTCATGTAATTTAATTTAATTTAATTAGTGGTTGGTGGGAGTAGATAATTTGATTTAAATTCTGGTTAGTTGAGATATGCTAGTTTTGCTGCTCGCTCGCTTGGGCTGCTCGCTCGCTTGGGAATTACGTTAGTTAGTATTTACTAACTTAGTAACTAGTTAGCGACAAGCACCCTCCTTTTACGTTGAGTGACAGCGATGGCTTGCCTGTTGTCTTCGTTTTGACAGAAATAGGATGACCAGCATAATTCAACATATGTCAGGTGTCGAGAACCCAGCACCTACAAAGTGGCCTGTGGACAGATGCTCATCAACGAGCTGGATGCTGGGGCTAACCCTCGCCAGGGTTCAGTCTGGATATTTTTTGGTTGGAAAATATGGAAAGGAGAAAAGAGCACTGGTATGCGGCTCTGCACCGGCGGTTGCCCAACAGAGTCGACGCGAGCAATGTCGCAACAATCATGGCTCTTCCATTCAGACATCACTGATTCGCTTCCCCTCGCTTGCTCTATACCTTTTAAGAGAACTATTTCTTTGCTGATTGCCATGCTGTCTCTCTGAAACGTCGCCCCTGGCTACGTGCTGCGCTGCAAATCAAGCTTGCAGCAATGGCAATATCAATGGCACTTAATGGGGATTCTCCTCGTACTTCTGACAGCGACCGTGATCGGTTCCAGCGGTTTCATTTTGATAATAGTCTCAATGTCATCATCGCTAATGTACCTCAAGAACCTTACCGGTTGGGTCGTCTGGACGTTGGTTGTCTTGTCATCAACAGAATGATAGGTGCGCCTTTATTCTACTACCATTATTGTACTTTGAGTCTCTCCATCTCACTACCTGAATCCATAACCAATTGGCTCACATCTATGGTTATGTTTGCCAGGCACTGGCATCTTTTCGTCTGTTGGGTTAGTCGTTCAGGGAACGAGAAGCATTGGGGTCTCCCTTCTATTCTGGTTCTTCGGTCTCCTATATTGTCTTGCAGGAGTACATCTGTACATCGAATATGGCCTCAGCATCCCAAGACATCGCTTCCAAGGAGTCACACAAGGAATTCCCCGAAGTGGAGGCGACCTTAACTATGTAAGCTCCCATATTTTATACCCACGTGGCTTCAACTTGACTAGGCACTGAGTAATTTACAGCTTCAGTATGTTTACCGGAAACCGAATTATCGCAAGGGCACCGTGCTACTTTCTGTCACTGCTTTCGCTACGGTATTTATTCTGTTTGGTAATGTTGCAGGAAACTGCGTGAACTTCGCTGTCATGGTGCTTCAAGCTTCGAATACTGAAGTGACCAACGATGCAGTTCGAGCAATTTCCATCGCGGTAGCTCTTTTTGCCTGCTTTACCCACACCTTTACTCGCCGAGGAGGCATTCTTTTGAGTAACATATTGGCCATGATCAAACTTGCGATGCTCTTCATGATTGTCATTACTGCCATTGTTGCTGCCACAGGGGCTTTCCCACAAACCGAATCGGCTGCTGCCAAAAACTTCGATTCGAAGAACTCCTTCCGCAAGGCTTCCACTCAGGCAAATGACTATGCGAATGCCTTCTTATTGATTAGTTAGCTAATTCATTCGCGGCATCCCTTTTGAGATTGCTAACATTTTACATGCAGTTTTCACTTTCAGCGGATTTGAGCAACCCAACTATGTGAGTGGTTTCTCATGTTTGTCGAGGAGATACGCTTAATTCTAATGCGACTGTTTCAGGTCCTTGGTGAAATTTCAAGGCCCAGGCAAAATTTTCCTATATCCATGATCACTTCTGTCTCCCTAGTCGGCATACTTTACATGGCGGTCAATATTGCATATGTAAACACCCAGGATATTTCCGTAAATGTGTATTATTGATATTTAGCCAATACGTATCCCACCTGCTAATTGCTACTAGATGTCCATTGTGCCCATAGCTGACCAGCTTAATGAGCAAATGAACCTTGCTGAGAGATTTTTCGAGTTAACTTTCGGAAAACTCAACGTTGCTGATAACACTGGCCAAAGGATATTCAACTCTTTCCTGGCCGTCTCTAGCTTCGGAAATATAGTTGTGATGACATACACTGCCGCGCGAGTGAAGCAAGAAATAGCAAAGGAAGGGATTTTACCATTTCCGAAGTTCTTCGCGATGAATCGCAACGTTTCATTGGCTCGGCTTCTTCGATGGGCCCATCGCCATCCCATCCTAGCGCGATTGTTCGGGCGAATGCTCAAGTCAAGATGGTTCGTTCCTGAAGGCCATTCTGAGGAGACACCAGTGGCGGCTTTGATACTTCATTTTGGATCTTGCTTGGTTCTGATTCTGGTCACGTACCGCGTGGAACCAACTAATACTTATAGATTACTTGCGAAAGTGTATACTTACTCTGTCCATGCGTTTTTCGGAGTCCTACTTGCAGGTGGGATACTTCACCTCCGTCTAAATCGTAAAGACGGATGGCGAAAAAAAGCCATCGGTATCAACCCACAACTCAGCGTTATGTCCGCCATAGTATACCTTCTTGGGAGCCTGTTTCCGGTAATCGTCTCTTGGGTCGAGCCTAGTGAGGAACTCGAACGGTTCGCCGACACCAAAATCCACTGGTATCTCGTCCCACTGCTTAGTTGGTCGGCGATTGCATTTGGGGCATTGTGGTGGCTTGGGTTTCTAGTTTTTGCCAAACGAATTGAGAAGCGCAATGGCACTATCTTTATGATTCAGAGAGACCCCGCCTTTGCGCGTGATCCCCCCATCAACGGATCACCCATTCAGGTTGATGAGACTGTGTATCTTGGATGGGTCACTAAAGAAAATATAACCATGCACGCTTCAGGGGGTAGGCAGGGTGAATCTTCTAGGCATGGTTTTGTCAATGGTGATGTCGGATGTGCGAATGGCATTATGGATTTCGACCATCAGTTGACGCGTTGATACTTCATTACATATTTTGACTGATTGAGTCCTCTCTAATGACGACAATTGATATTCAGCAAGCATTTCCTCGCAAATTTCAAGCGATCCTAGCGTTGCTTTTTTTTTTTTTTTTTTCCCTCCTTTCGTTCCCTGTTCCATGGGACTCCATGTGTGTGTTTTACGCACTTCAATAGATGCATTAGCCTGTCTCAATACTTTAATGAAGAGCTTTCGGAATAATCAAGTACTATCTTTCTCCGTTTTGCCTAGTTGTAATAACTCATGCTAGCCTCTGTTGTATGTTACATGGGGACAGACTGTGGAAGGTGTAAAGCTTGCTTGCTTGAAGGATTGCTAGCTACATGGCAAGTTATAACTATGGTGGAAGGATTACTAAGCCAGGGCAGTTGACATGACACAGACAGCCGCCCTGTATAGTTAGTGATATAAACAGGCGTTGCGGAATAATTTATATGTACTATGCTTGGTTGACCCTAGCAGCCCACCACGGGAAGAAACCGCCCAATTTCACTAATAGTTTGGATTAAAGTTAATGCTGCTTAGAGTTATTTATACCTAGGCCTCTGGCTGTGTTGTGTAAAATCAGAAGTGGGCCGACGTCGTGTGGAATTCACTAACCCCTTTTCGCGTGAAACTTAGGACTTCTGACAACTTGATGGGCTGGATGTGTTGAGCTCTTTTGGCCCAGTGGCCTAGGAGCCCACTGCATTATATCTTGTTCACGTGTACGAATGAGCATTTAGCTTTCCAAGTAAATTTGTATCATCACGTCTCAGGAGATAATTACGGGATATATATTATTCCCATTTAATTTAAATTAGAACAAATGGGATATAATGCATGCGTTCTGAAGAGCTCCCGTGGCAGTTAACAACTTGGATAGAAATGATGTAGTTAATCCTTGCTCTCGTACCCTTCGTGTCAGCTAGAGGACAGTAGACATCAAATATGCTAAACAAAAGGTCGCGAACTCCGGGAAAGGGAGGCATCTAAACAACCCAACCTAGTTTTTGACGGCGTAGATTTTAAAGGAACCTATACATTGATAGTTAGGATGGATCGATCCAATTGAAATTCCTTAAATCACGAAACAAACGAGAACCAGACAGAGATAACTCACCCGCCCACTCGTTAAGATCGACATTCGTAAACTCAGCTTTAAATCCTTCAGAAAATATCCCAGGCCCGCGCTCTTCCTTTGACGGCGCAGGGCCACAGCAGGGAGTCGGCTCGGGCTTCTTCACTACCCCGCAGCAGCCACCGCTGGCGTTCTTGGGGGTTTCCAATGCTGACGTGTAGATGTTCAAATCGCTCTTTGCATCGACAATAAGGACATCTAATGTTTTCCATATAAGCATCTGCTCTACTGTTCCGGACCAAAATGAAACAAAAGCGGAAAGAACCCACCACTAAACCCCGCCTCCCTCAAATACCTCTCGTAATCCTCCACCCGGCTAGCTCCCGAAATACAGCCAACATACAACGCAACGCTCTTCTTCAGCTCAGGCGTCAACTCCTTCCGAACCAGGATATCGCTGAGGGCTACGCGCCCACCTGGTTTGAGCAGGCGCGCCATCTCATTGAAAGCGAGCTGCTTCTCGGCCTCTGGAACGAGGTTGACGACGCAGTTGCTGATGATGCAGTCGGCCACGGCGTCAGGGAGGTCGACGGCGGTAATTTTTGATTCGACAAAGGCGACGTTTGCTGCGGCAGCACCGGTCTTTTCTTTGTTGCTGTTTGCTCTGGCAAGCATATCCTATGGTCCCAAATGGGTTAGCTTTGTGTTTCTTTGCCTTGGTGGGTGAGGGCATACATGCCTTGTTCATGTCAACGCCGTATACTTTTCCATTCGGGCCGACATTTTTGGCGGCGAGGAAAGCGTCGATGCCCGCACCACTGCCAAAGTCTATCACAGTTTCTCCCTGCCATCGTTGCGTTAGTATATCGTATTCAAGACAGCATGGAGATGGATGAGGGGTCCACGTTGAGAATATATATATATATATAGATAGATATATAATGAAGGGGGCGAGGATTAGACGCACGAAGCAGGGAGATGGGGAATGCGAACCTCTTTCAATTGCGCCAGAGCAAGAGGATTTCCACAGCTTAGGCCCAGATTCGCATCTTGTGGGATACTGGCGAGCTCCTCCTTGGAATATCCAAAGGCGGTTGCCACGTCGTGGCCGTATCTGTCGTCGCTGGTTTTGGCAGCGGAGCTGTAGTGTTTCTGGACCTCTTGGTATACTTGTGGTTCGGCCATGGTGGAAATAGCAATAATGTATGCTGTACAAAAACAAGGTTTTCCCTTGAACAAAGCCAAAACTGATGCTCAAATGTTTAAGCGGGGTCTCTGATTCTCGGTAGATGGTATTTAATTTTCAATTCCACCATCAGGTGTTGATGGAAGTGGTTTATATAGACCACGCTCGTTCCAGTTTTCATGCTGGGAATGCGATCAAGCGGACTGATATGTCACTGCGGCGCCTGTGGTGGACCCGGACCGCCACCAGTTCCGCAACCTTTACAGCGTAGTTGTATGGGACCTGTGCCTGGTCGGCAGAGGTGGCTCTTCCTCTACAGGACACGGACATCGAGCCCTTGGCTGGAAGATCTAGGGTAAAGATATCGCTGGCTGCTGAGGCTCCATCCGTTTGGCTAAAATATAGCCTTGATCGCGCAATCATCCATCAATCATCTACTCCTCCACCCTATCTCTCGATTTGATGAGATTCCTAGACCAGCGAGTATTCATTCCGCCTGGATCCCGAGTCCTTGGTCTCGAGTCCAGTGCCCCACATGGTGAGCCGAGCGATATGTCACCGTTCTTGGCGCCGATTTCGCTTCAAATTAAATAGTTAGTTGACTTGTGGTGACAATACCAGCGACGTGAGCAGCACAGATACTCTAACATCCAGATTGTCAACTGCAGCGGATGAAATACGTGTTTGATTTTAATTTGTTTTCTTTTGCGTTGGTCCTACAGAGAATCATGTCTACTCCCACTAGTAATAATGATGACTCTCCCAAATCACAAAGGAAGAGCCGTGCCCACACCCTCACGCGGGTGCGAAACAACCAGCGCCGTTGTCGCGAGCGGCGTCGCCAGTATATAGCTGCCTTGGAACAAAGGGTTGAAGAAACAGGACGTCTGCTTGAAGAGGCTCGTGCAGAGATTGACAGTCTGAAATCCCAATTGATGGAGTGCGGGTCTCGTTCTCGCCGTCGCCGCCATCCTCATCATGCTAATCAACTGGCTGAGGGGGAGAGTGCGGTGAGCTACTCTGGTGGTGGTGGTGGTGGCTCAATAGATGCGGCAGCTTGGATGATGTCTTTAGGCCAGCAGGGTGGATATAGACAGGTATCCGGGCAGATTGAAGAGGTGGGAGAATTACCTGCTCTACTTCCTGGTCCTCTTCCTGCCCCTCCTGAGAGGGAAGATGACTGGCCTGCCACCACATCCCATCAGCAAACTTCAGATATTGGATACAATGCTACCCCGAACATGCTCGCCCTCCAGCAATTAGACAACACCCACCCGAGACGACCTTCTTCGTCTTCTTTGGCTCTCGCAAATCAACGCGAAACTGCTGTCTGCGGATCCAGGCCCCCAAACGCCGTCAATTCAGATACTACATTAACTACTAGTACCAACGCGCCCTCACCACTCAGCACACTTTGGACACCGACTTTAACAGCACTTCAACTAGAAGGTTTAATCCTTCCAGATATCCCCGATACATCCAACAGTGACTACACTCTATCTCCAGCCGATGAATCCACAACGCCCTGTAGCCAAGCCTTCATCTTCATATCCCAGCAGAACTTCAAGGGACTTGACGCATCGTCTATTGAACGGTGGCTGTGTCGCGGATTTCGACAGGCGACAGACCCTAGAGAAGGGTGTCGTGTTGAAAATACCTTGTTGTTGCAGGTGTTAGATTTCGTAAGTGGGCTGTGAAGCATATGTCCATGCACATGTGTGTATTTTTACGGACATACTTGCGTCGATTTCCAAAGGCCTCCTTTAAGGATGAGGACGGGACTCTGCCCAACCGCCAACACCGCCGTACTTTGCTTGGACATGTATAAATTCAGGCGATCTCGATCGACCAGTATCTTAATTTTGAATCGTCGCATATAATGAAATGCCGAGCCAACATGTGCTATTTTAACACCGAGGATACGAGAAACGACCCACCTCCGAAGCGGGAGCAGAAGATTTTCTATCTCGCTCGATATTAGGACTCGCTGAACTCAGGGGAAGCTCTCCAGTTACGAATCCTTAGATTCCGCTATACGTTCCAGTTGGGGGAAAGCAGGAGGCTTCACAACTTCACCCAGAGGGGCTCCTAAGGTTCTAGAGAACCTGAGTATGTAGAGGGCAAGTTAGATAACTATATGTTTTTTACAGTACCTTCTCTAGATATCAGGGTTGGATACCTGAGTGCGTGGAAGGCTTTTATTGCGGCTACTATAAAATACCCAGACACCTAGCAATTTGGAGATATCAACAGAAATTCTTTCGGTCTTATTCTCTTCCCTACTTATTTTAGTTTCCTTTCTTGTAGAAATTCTGAAAAAAAAAAGTTGTGCGGGAAATGTAACTCTTATTTGAACCAGCCAGTCTCACGCTTATCGCGCTTATCCCTCCAACCGCTGTAACAGCACCACACCAGGACATTGACTCGCTGCTATACTTACCAACACCTTGAACTCTCACTCAATTAATTTAGTATTTCGCATAATAACCCCACATAATCTCTGCCTGCACTGTATAAGCATCCTCCCAATTCAAATACCAAGTCGGTCGTACTTCTGATATCTACCACCCCATCCTCTCCTCCAAGCTCCGAACAAGCTCTATTGCAGGGAGAGATTTGTTAAGCAAACATGTACGTATGTCCGGGTATAGCTTCTTCTGGAAAAGAAAGCCCATTTCTAACGTTGCCACCTGTTAAAATAAAACCTAAAGGCCCGTCTACTCCCTCATCATAATAAACAAAGCTGGCGGTCTAATATACAACCGCGAGTTCCACTCAGGACTACTGAAGCTGTCTACGAATGATTACCTGGTGCTGGCGGGAACATTTCATGGGTGCGTATCATAATAAAAAAAAAAAAAAAAAGAGAGATTAATAGAAATAACTCCCGCACTCCTTCCCTCATCTGTGAGAAAACCAGTCTAACACCTCTCCTCCTCGTTGTCCCGCCGCCGCAGAATCCACGCAATAACCCGCTCCCTCACTCCGCGCCTCCCCACAAACCCCACAACTACGCCCTCTTCAGTCCCAAGCGCAGGCACAGCAATTCCATCACACACCCACGCCCACTCCTCCTCTTCCTCCATCAGCAGCCCCCTAAACCCGTCCACTACCTCCACAGTCACCAGCTCTTCTCTCCCATCCCACACCACCGTCCCCAACCCCACCCAACCCATCACCGGCATCGAAGTCCTCGAAACGGACAAATTCCGCCTAACCTGTTTCCAAACCGTGACGGGGACGAAGTTCCTCCTCTTCACGGACCCGCTGATGGCGGGCGTGGACGTCGTCATGCGGAAGATCTACGAACTGTATGCGGACTACGTGATGAAGAATCCGTTTTATCAGTTGGAGATGCCAGTGAGGTGTGAGGCCTTTGATCGGCACGTTGCGGGGTGGGTGAAGGGGAGAGGATAGGAGGGGATAGGAGGGCGCGGGGTTGTTTTGGTTTTTATTTACTAATTGGAATTTTTCTGAGGGCTTTTCTTTTACGATCGTGTGTGTTTTCAGCGATTGTCAATATATATAATATATAGGGCTTTATTTTGTGGTGAGTGAGGGATAAAACCATAATATACCCAGCTGAAGGCTATGGATGAGTATTTTGCGAGAGATTTTGTCATTCTTTGGGGTATGTGTCTGTCTCTGGGGGCAGAGTCCACTTTATGTAACTTGAATAGAATGGCATGGCGGATTAGATATTTGGCGTTGCGTTAGGTCCGGTCTATAATTTAACAAAACCCGAACAACACACGATGCATCTAAATTAGGAAAAGGCAGAGGAAACAGAAGATTTAGATATCTAAGTACAGCAAGTACAACAAACCCACAAAGCAGATCGATTGTTTCATCATGCCGTATCCATCTGATCCCCATTGTCCCTCTTATCCTTATCATCCCTCTTCCCCTCATTCGTGCCACTTCCGCTCCCACTTGGCTCCCCATTCTTATCGAGAAGGGGCTGTGTCTCCTCACTCCCCTCTGCAATCCCTGCCAACACGGCCTTCTCCCTCTTCTCCTTCTCCGCCATCTCATTTCTCTCTTTCTCTATCCGCGCCTGTTCCTCCTCAAGAGACATGCGCAGCGCAAACGCTAGTTCCGGATCTGCAGAGGGGTCAAAGCCAATATCAACCCCATCATCAACCCCCTCCTCACCACCCGTGCGCCCAACACCCATCCCATCGCCGCCCAGAATCGGTGTCGTAAGCAGTGAGTCGCTAAGAAGGTTTGATCCGGGGTGTATTACAGCGAGATACGAGCCGTCAGCGCCATTGACGTTCTCGTTGAAGGCTTCGAGTTTCTTAATTGTGTCGTCGTCCAGGTCGCCAAAGGCCACGAAGTCCACGGAGACGTTATATTTCTTCATGCGCTTTGCAAGTTTGATGAGGGTCTTTTCGTCCTCGGCAATCGGGGAGCAGGTGAAGACGATGATTCGTTGGCGTTGCGCGCGTTCTCGGCGGTGTTTGAGGGCTAGCTATTAGTTTGTTTTTAAGAAAAGGAAAAACGGTTAGGAGACTGGTTGGGATATATCATATTTAATGAGAAGGGATTTGGTATGGTGCTTACGCCGGCGACTTGTATACTGGAGGCAAGATGCGCTTGTCCCCGGATCTTTGTTCGATGCAGACCATCCAGAATCTTACCGATGTCCGCCGTCAGAGTCACCAGTACCTCTGGACCTTTGCCGGCCATACTCATCAGCCCAACTGACGATTCGGGGTTGGCTTGTGTCTTTGCGGAGTGGATTAGGTTGATCGCGTCTGCTTGAGCTTCGAACCGTGTGGGACTGTTTCCATCTGGTTAGATTTGTCGATTCGTAGACAAGGTCCACATGATTCTTTTGCGAGTGGTAAAAGCATACAGATAATCTCCATTTCTACTGCTCTCACTGTTATCCACACTGTTTGAGGTAGTAAATAGATAAACATATATTAGCTGTAGCTCCATATAGGTATGATCCGGTGTGAAGAATGGAGGACGGACATGATCATCGTGGCTTCAAGCACCATCTTGGCTGCTGGTGCACCTTGTGCTGCAGATTTTTTTGGGAATATATGAGACGAGGCTGACTGGGTGGTATATGGGGCAGATGTCTAAAGGTGCAAGGAGTGGTATATATGGTGTTTAACTGCAGTGGATATTGAAACCGAAGCTGCTGTTGAGCCGGAGTTGACGCAGCTGCTGCCGTTTCTGGCTGGGGCTGGGTTGCTGTCCCGGTTGGGTCTAGCGTACTTCAGTCCACTTGGGGCTGACTAAGATTTGGCTTCGTTGATGACTTGGAGAATATTGAGAAGCACAGTCAACTGGTCAAGTATTATATCCCTAGGTTTTGTCATTTTATTATATTAAGCTGTTCCGTCAAATATATAAGGAGCTCCAGCAATACTGCTTAAAATAACAGTCGGGTTTTGTTTAATTCCATACCGCGTTGAGTTATTGATAGATCTCAAGCTACTCCGTACATAGTAACACATCGTGATACACCAACCTTTAGAATGTTGTGATATACCACAAACAGGTAGGTAACGAATATCTAAATACATTTTGGTGGTCTTAAACCCTGGTGCACGGAAATACATCTGGTCCAAGGTGTCCTGTACATGTACAGTACCTAGTAGTACTTTTAGTGAAACGGTCCTTCGCCCTGTCGACATCTCTAGAACTTTAGTTAGGTCTACCTGGCTGAGTAATTGAAGCTCACGACAGCCAACAGAATATATGGAGGCCTGCGGATGCGGGGTATTGTAAGTAGGGTTCCAAGGCGGATGCCGGCAGATGCGCCTTTGGAGAGAGAATTAAGTGTCCGCACTGGATATTCACGGTCATAGTAATTTGCCTACATTGGATATCTGGGCGAAGAAGAAGGGCTATGGACCCTATGTACTGTATGTAAAACAAACGACTTTTCCATGGTCTGGTTCAATGCGGCTAAAGCAGATGGCTTGTCGCATCATGCAGGAAGGCTGTACGCGATATTGACAGCGGGCTTTAATAAAAATATGGGGAGGTTCAGGGTAGACGAATATCAGTTTGCTATCACGGGCGCCTAACCTAGTAGCCTGGTAGCTGCTGAGGTCAGAGCATCTCTATTATGGAATTGGCATAAAACAGAGGGATTTTGTTGATGGAGAATGATGCATGGTGCATATCTTTTTTTGACCCGTTCATGGCTAAATTGCCGCAATTGCAAGGGTATATCCGAAGCAGCGCATTGAAACCAGACTCTGCATATCAAGTAACGGAAATAGAAAAAGTAGACTGGACGATGTTTCTTGTCCGACGTCTATTTTGAGGCAGCAGTCAACAGGGAGGGGAGGAAAATGCCGATGACATAATCGCGACCCAGTTGGTCAACTCGTTAGTTCCGCTACGCTAGCCCCTTCTGGTTTGTTTACCACCAGGTTGATTCAATCCGAGTCTTTATCTCATTCTTTCATGAATCTCATCCACTTCATCGTTCATGCCCGATACGAGGAAATTTACTCATTGCAATTAAGATACCAAAGGAATGGCCACCGTTTCAAGGAAACGTAAATCCCCCGAACCTAGCCACCACCACGCGCTTGAACACGACAACAATGTCAGCACACCTCGAACCCCAAACGGAAGCCCAGCCAGGAAACGATTGAGGATCACACTCAGCCAGAAACAAGCTTTGATTGACAACTTGCAGCTGGAGGGTATGACTCTAATCATGAGGGCTTTTGAGTTGCTTCGCTAGTGCAGCCTGAGAATGTACTGACTGGACCCATCGCAGTCACTGAACGGGCACGCAAACTCCGTGCACACTACGCGTTACAAGCCCAAGACCTCCGCGGACGGATTGAGCGACGTATAAATCGCATACCCACCGCTCTGCGAAAAGAAAAGATGGGTGACTTGCTTGCAAAATACTCGGAACCAACCAGGGCAGTGGATGCAGGCCAAAAATCAGGGTCAACGAAAACAACCAAATCCTCAAGCAGAGCTGCGACGGGTGCAGCCAAAAATCCAGCGGACGGCCATGATGCCGCGACCACCACTCGAACAACTCGAGGGGCTAAGCGGACAAGGTAAATTTGTTGCTGCCTTTGTTCTTATTATTGAGTTTTCCACAGCCGAAGAGAAGAAGATGTAGGTTTTATTTTAAAGCAATAACTCAAGTCCCTAACATGTGGATCAGCGATGATATGCTCGCCTCCGGTAAAGAGAACGCCCCCTTTCAGGTTCAAGATCACCACAGCCACCCCGCTCCTGCTGTGCATGTGCCGCTATCAAACCCGAAGAAGCGTGGCACGCCCAATGCACATCCTGCGGGGCAACATCCCCGGGTACTATCCCAGTTTGCAGAAACGGGCGTCTTGTCGCCGAAATCTTCCAATTCTAGGACATTCCCGCAATCTCCATTGCGCAACGTCACTGGGAAGTCACAACAGCAACTTGGTGCAAGCGTTCGACCGTCATCGCCTCTGAAGCATACGAGCCCGGTTAAGCCGGCCAGGGCAGGGGTGGTGGAGCACACAAAAACGCGGTCAACAAGAGGCACTACTACTACCGGTGCGACTGGGGCACGGAAAGTTACGCCACATACTAACGACGGAACTGGTACGCGGAGAAGGACGACCGCTAAATCCACCGCGTCGACAACTTCGAAGAGAGCAACTGCAGCCTCCACAACAGCACCACCATCACGACCTGCTACTCGACAGAGGAATACGCGAAGGAACAGTGGCGCTTCTACGGTTTCAAACGTGTCATCTGGCACAACGATTGTGAAGACCACGGGGAGGGGCGGCGGCGGCGGCGCTGCGGGTTCTCAGAAAGGAACAGGCTCGCGTCCGGTCTCTGCGGCGAGTAAACGGCCGCCAGTTCCTCGAGCGGGAACGAAGAAGACGACATCCACAGCTGGAGCTGGAGCGGGAGCGGGAGCGGGAACGGGCTCAGTGATAAAAAAGGCGCAGGCGACGGAGGAACCCGCTGCGGCGTCAGGGCAAAGAGTGCTTAGGAAGAGGGCTTGAGGGGAGGGTTGTCTACTTTTTTTGCTTTCATTTTTATTTCATTTTGCTACTGCAGCAGGTTTTCACTTCTGTCTTATGTTAGACTCCTTTTTTTGTTTAATATCGTGTGTCGCATTTGAAAGACAAGTAGAGGCATTGTTGTTGAGACACCAGGCTGGGCGGGAAAATTATTTTTCCATCTCTCTGGACCTTGGGCATAACCGTGCATTTTGGGTGGTTTTGATATGGTTTCACTGGCGTTTTGTCTCTGCCTGCCTGGGTTTCATGCGGCTGTTTCTTTGGTTATTTTCTAGATTGCTGGAGTTAGATTTTAAGTTAAGATTTATTCCAGTTTAGGACCATTACTGATGAAATGTTTTTTTGTTGTTTTTAAAGTTAAGTTCCAACGGTTTAGCTAGAGCTTTGTTAAGCTTCAGGGTTTTTTAAGTCAAGGTTTGTTCCTGGCACGGAGGGCCGTTGAATGGTTTCTCCACCCCTTCCATTTGCTGTGTCGCCTGTTTCTATAATTATCCCTGTGGGCGGCTAGGTTGAGATTTGAGTCTTGACATGTGCCTTGAGTTTCGGACTAAAGAATCAGCACGCATTATGTAGAAGCGCTACAGGGCTAGATATGATATGGGACGGCTGAGTTTTGCCAGCCAGCTATTCAGCGTGAGTAGGATAGACAGCATACGGCCTGAAGCAGAGGCAGGCCCGTTGGCTGCACCGCGTAGAAATGATGATTGTCAGAGGTCTCACTGCCCGTCATATCTCACGGAACCGGGCTCTACGGAGTTACTGTGATGACACCCAGCATTCTGCAGCCCTCTTTTTCCGTCGACTTCTGTCGCGACTCGTACTCTGTGCACAGCGCCCATCATCAACACAGGCCTCATCATTGGATCCCGTTGGCTGTTGACAGCCCGCATCACGTGTGTGGGCTGTTGTTTGTGCTTAACCGCATGTGGCACCAGCGGTCTTGGCGGCCCCGGGCCCTCAGCCCGCGGTTTTGGGCGCTTGAGAGGTTGGAGGCTGGTGATCAGGTTAAGGGCTGGCGAGGGTTAGGTAAGGGGGGAGGTTCATCGACTGCGCATCGCCTACATCAACGACCATCGCCTGCATCAACGGCTTCAACTCCTCCGCCTCAGCCATCCTCTCGCATTCCTCCAACCTCCTCCATCCCTCATCCCTCCATCGCTCCCTCCCACTCTCCCTCGTTGTCGCTCTTCTCTTCGTTTCACGTTTCCTTTCTCTCGCTCCCCCTCTCTCGCTCTGTTCTTTATTATTCTCTCCCTTCTTTCCGCTCGCAACGTTGGCTCCTGGCGACAGTCCGTCTCTCTGTCAAGCTTGCCCGTCTCGCGCTCTCTCTGTGCATCCCCTGGTCTCCTGGTTGTCACGACTTCGTCTCCCGCTCATTGCTGATGCTCCAGGGGATGTAGGTCGATTGTTTGCGGGCCAAGCTGCTTCGCCGCATGTTGGTCTCACACTGACTGACTACTGAACCCGCACCAATTAGCTCTCCACCACACCCTCACTGTCCATCACATTATCTCCTTTCCACCTTCGCAGACAGGTTAAGATTACTCCTCACTCAAAAAGCCTTCCCTGGTTAAGGTTACTATATGAAAGCAATACCCCGACAAGCTGAGAAACCAAATAAAACTTACATAGGCAACCCTACCTCGATATTCTTCAGATATCCTGGGACAAAAGAAACCCAATACCCTTTCTATTACGCATTAGTACAGATAAATACAAAAAGGGTG